GTAGAAAAATATGTTTGTCTCTTGATTAATTTTATTTGTAGAAAAATATGTTCATATTCAGTACTAATTAATTTAATGACGTCTGGCATTAAATATACTACTACTGATTAGTTGAACTTCTGCTGGTGTAAGATCAAAATCTTTCTTTAAATTACAAGTAAAATCTTACAATAGTTGTTTGACCGCCACTCATATGCCTTCATAATAAGCATTTATCGATATTTCTAACTATGACAGATCATTTAGGGCCACTTGTTCTCGCTCAATGTTTACAAAACTATTTCTATTTGGATTTACATTAGACGTTTGTGGATCAGATTGAGAACAGATATAAAGTCATCAGACTCATGACATGCACAGCATGTAGAAAGCTACGGATTCTTTTAGACTCGCGTTCAAGTTCACAAAAATATGGACCCACAACTTCTTAACTACATGCTATGGAGCCATCACTCGCTTCATAGTAAGTGCCTTGGTTGCTGAATGCATCTGAAATATCTCAAAACATAAATCAAATGATCACTTTGTATAAGAAAAATTATCAAACGCTTGTTTTTATGAATAAAACAGCAAAGCACAATGATATTCTTTGAGTTATCTAAGACATTACTTTTGATTATATCAATAAATATAAAAATTATCATTTTTATTCTAATGTGGTTGAATGATTCGGTGAACGGGATACTTTTGTACACTTTCATATTTTTTATAATTAATGTAACTTTCTATCCTAATTAATTTATGTAGAATAAAATTCACATACTGTCGTTTCATATTATCTTTATCAATCTAATACTTATGTGTCAATTTTTCTCTGATTAACATATTAAAAGAGTTTTATTCAAGGTAAATAAATCAACATCAATTAATAGATGTATACGTTCACATACCTTGATGTGTCTTTTTTAACTTTATCAAATAAAATAACAGCCTATAGTTGCGTGCAACAACTTCTGTTAATTGACCATCTTGTTCAAAACCAACATAACTTAATTTGATTAAATAAGTTATATATAATATATATACGAATTTTATCAGACAATCAAGTAAACGACATATCCCAACCAACCAGAAATCTAATGAGATTTCGGAAGCATCAGCAGAATTTTGACAGAATTCTATTACATACTGCAGAATTCAAATTTCATTACACACAAGTAAACGATTTCCTCATCTCTAGAAAAACTCTGCTTCATTAAATAGAATTCTGTCGAAATTCTGCTGAGAATTAAAAACGTCTAGCAGAATTCTAAACATCCAACAGAATTCTGTACTGGCGTGACATCATTTGAATTCTGAATGCCCGAACAGAATTCTGTCAAAATTCTGCTTGCTTTTTTGAATTCTCAGCAGAATTCTGTATTTCACAAGGGACAAGAACAAATCATAGAACAGCTAAATAGAATTCTAAACAGTCTGCGGAATTCTGTATTCGCGTGTTCCATGCACACCTAATAAGAACCAATAATCGAAAAGTGCATAAGTCCCCAAAATTCTGAATTCTACTGGGCAAGAATTCTGCAACTGCTGAAATTTTAGACAATTAAAGGATGGCAAAGTGAAATATTTTGTAAGAATTTTCATTGAAGCTGATTATTGAAAATATCATTTTGAACGAAGATAGTTGAACACGCGAGAATCGATGCAATTCTAGTGAGCAACTACGAAGAACCAAAAATCGATTTAGTACTGGGAGATTTATCTGCTAATATTGATCCAATACTTATACGAACATTTGCATCTTTATCAAATTTAATCATTAAACAAGAGAAAGTAAATGAACTTTCATTGAATTTTGTTATTTCTTTCTTTTCTTTAGCCCAAATGCAAAGAAGGAAAGGAATAAATGAATTCCAAATCAATCTTTGATCCAAAAGCCTTTAAAGATGCAACATTTTGGTATCTTCAAGATATTGAATTAGTTTTTCATAAGTTTGTTTAATAAACAATCAAATGAAACAGATTCGAAAGAAAAAGAAGAATTATTAGAAGAAAATGATTTATTAGAATTAACAACAGATTCATCTTCACAAAAGAAATATCAATCGAAAGAAAAAGAGAAAGAGAAATCTATTGAAAAATATGCAAATCTAAAAGAAGTTTGTTTCATTGAAAATTCTTCATTTCTTTTTAATCTTTTTCTTTCACAGTTAATTATCAAATTAAACATTCTTCAAGTGAAAGTTGAACTTGGAAATGGTTCATCAACACGACCAATTGTTGCTGTTTATTTATCAAATATCTTTGCTCATATTCAAAATTGGTCAACTGATGTACATTCATTGAAATCTTTCTTCCCTTTCATATCCTTTTCACTAGATTCTTTTATCATCATCAATTCAAGTTGAATTGCCTTTATTTAATGATCATTTACTTGCATGGGAACCATTAATCGAACCTTTTATTGATGAAAAAGGGATTGTGCAATCTCTATGAACCGTCAATTGTCAAATTATTGAAGTATTTTATATGAGAAATTCCTTTTTTAATCTTTTTTTTTCTTAATATCTTGTTCACAAGATATATTCAATAATTCAGATTTAAAATAAACTATAGTATCATGCATATTCACTCTGAACTACCTTAGTTTAAAATGAATACTTGAACGATAAAAAGACCTTTTATTTAACGTGAATAACGCTTCATACAAAGATAAATGACTAATGCATACGCACAACATCCAGAAATAAAAAGAATAAGAGTCCGTACAATCAGAGATGGGCAAGTCAAGTCATTTTTGACTTGAATCAAGTCAAGTC